GTGTGTAACCCCCAACAGTGAACTTCCCCCTTTTGCATCTTTCTGGTCCGTTAAATAAAACATTGAAACTGTTTTGTCATATACCGTATTTGCCGGCGTATAAGACGACCCCCTACTTTTCCTGTTAAAATATAGGGTTTGGGCTATACTCGCCGTATAAGACTACCCCTCTTCCAACGCACACCAAAAATTAAAAAACATCAGATTTGATTTCAATATGGGTATGGTATTCCAATGATGGGGCACGCTTCCTCACTCTGACACCAATGATGGGGTGCTATTCCTGCCACTGACACCAATGATGGGGCACGATTCGTTGCTCTGACACCAATGATGGGGCACTATTCCTCCCACTGATACCAATTGATGGGGCACTATTCCTCCCACTATTACCAATGATGGGGCACTATTCTTCCCCCCACTGACACCAATGATGTGGCCACCTATTCCTCCCACTGGATACCAATGATGGGGCACTATTCTTCCCCCCACTGACACCAATGACTGGGGCACTATTCCTCCCACTGATACCAATGATGGGGCACTATTCCTCCCACTGACACCAATGATGGGGCACTATTCCTCCCACTGACACAATGATGGGGCACTATTCCTCCCACTGATACCAATGATGGGGCACTATTCCTCCCACTGACACCAATGATGGGGCACTATTCCTCCCACTGATACCAATGATCGGGGCACTATTCCTCCCACTGACACCAATGATGGGGCACTATTCATCCACTGATACCAATGATGGGGCACTATTAACTCCCACTGATACCAATGATGGGGCACTATTACCCTCCCACTGACACCAATAGACGGGGCACTATTCCTCCCATTGACACCAATGATGGTGCCCATCATTAGTGTCAGTGTGTGAGGAATAGTGTCCCATCATTAGTGTCAGTGGGAGGAATAGTGCCCCATAATTGGTGTCAGAGCAACGAATCGTGCCCCATCATTGGTGTCAGGTGGCAGGAATAGCACCCAATCATTGGTGTCAGAGTGAGGAAGCGTGCCCCATCATTGGTGTCAGAGTGAGGAAGCGTGCCCCATCATTGGTGTCAGAGTGAGGAAGCGTGCCCATCATTGGTGTCAGTGGGAGGAATAGTGCCCCATCATTGGTGTCAGAGCAACGAATCATCGTGCCCCATCATTGGTGTCAGTGGCAGGAATAGCACCCCATCATTTGTGTCCGTGGGAGGAATAGCGCCCCATCATTGGTGTCAGTGGGAGGAATAGTGCCCCATCATTGGTGTCAGTGGGTGGAATAGCGCCCCATCATTGGTGTCAGTGGGTGGAATAGTGCCCCATCATTAGTGTCAGTGGGAGGAATAGTGTCCCAACATTGGTGTCAGTGGGAGGAATAGTGCCCCATCATTGGTGTCAGTAGGGGGGGAGGAATAGTGCCCCATTTGTTGGTGTCAGTGGGAGGAATAGTGCCCCATCATTGGTGTCAGTGGGAGGAATAATGCCCCATCATTAGTATCAGTGACACCAAGATGATGGGGCACTATTCTTCCCACTGACACCAATGACACTTGCTGACTCCTGTTCTAGTATGGTACTGCTGCAGCCAGCATATGTGGTTGCAGCAGCACCTCTGCACTGCACACTTACCCTCACTCGATTTTCGCGGGGTCCGCTCGGCTCCGCCTCCTCGCCCGTGATTGGCCGCCTGTGTGCCTTTCCTGAGCTACAGTTCTGGCGGCCAATCACCGGTGAGGAGGCGGAGCCGAGCGGCAGGAGTGAGAGGAGTGGCCGGAGTGACTGAAGGAGCAGCGCTTCCTGGATGGATCGTCGAGGGAGCCAGGTAAGAGACTGCAGCCCTCTGCCCACCCCTGTACTTGGTGTCCCTTCCGTCGGAAGGGGGGGGGCGGCGAGCAGCACTGCGCCACCCCCCTAAAAAGTGCCCCCTGACGTATATGGGCGTATAAGACGACCCCTGACTTTTGAGAAGATTTTCAAGGGTCAAAAAGTCATCTTATACGCCGGAAAATACGGTATGTTTGAACTTGTTGATCCTGCCAGAAATCTTGTGAGCTACACAAGTTCCTGTGCTTGCTACTTGTACTGAATTCTTAACACTTGGGGCTCATGTACACTGCAGCTGATAAACTCACGTTTAGGAGCTCTTCAGCGTTTTTTTTCAGCAGCCCCTGAACTCTCCCTAATGTTTTCCTATGTGCCCATGTACACATCTTTGTTTACATTCGTTTACAGGCATTTGAGTTTACAGTCGTTTTTTTGAACGCAACAAACTTGCGTTCAGACGTCCATTTTATCAGCGTGTCAAATGCAATATGCTTGTAAACGCGGCAAATCGTGTTTATAAGCGTTTGTGTTTGAATTTTTTTTTTAACTCTTCCAGTTCCCAATGCTGTCCAGAGCCTTTTTTCATCATGAAAAATGCATGCAAATCGTTTTCAAGGTACTCAGATGGACAAAACACTGAACACAGGATGTTCCTACCATAAGCTTTGTCACACATTGTAATGACCAATTCACACCTCAGACCTCTCCCACCCTTGGAAACAAAAGATATGTTAATGACCATTCACACCTCAAATTCCTCATGAAGACCCCCTGCCAGGTGACCTTAACCTCTTCACACTGACCACACACAAATGTGTGGCCTCTCCAGCGTCTGGGCCTAGATGCCGAGCGGATTCCCGCACATTTGTGTGCAATAAAGAAAACATATGTGCTGAGAGCGCGCGCCCTGCGTGCTCCCAGCACACCTGTCCGATACTCACGGAAAGGTCCCGATCTCCTCTTTTGATCGGGACCTTTCCGATCATGTGACCGCCATGACTGCGAATCACGGCGGGTCACATGACCCTAAAACCCCACCCCGCCTCCAGGCTTCTGAAACTGTTAAAGGGTCGGGAGGTGCAGGCACCAAGGGGTTAATGACTCCCTCCACCAGACACCTTTCCCACCCTTTGAAACAAAAGAAATGTTAATGAGCAACTCACACCTAAGCAAATCTCAACACATACTGCTGACTCTGCTTCTACTCTCTGTATTTCTCTGAAACAGTCTGAAATAGTTAATAATTTACCACTTTTCAGTGCATTCTGGGCATATGGGAGGTTCTCCTGTGCTTATCTTTAAAAAATGCTTCTAAACGCAAACGCGCATAAATGCGCTATGCAAACGCAGCTAAACAGACGTTTTTTAACCTACGTTTTCCAGCAGTCAGTTTCCATCGTTCAGAACTGTCCCGTGTATATTGTTCTCAAGCAATAATATTCTAACGTGTTTTGCCCGAAGCCTTGCTTAAACATGCTATGAGTAAGGCTTGGTTTTGCACCTATGCAGTTTGCGTTTTGAGCCGTTTCTGCATTGCGTTTTGCGTTTTTGCATCTGCATTTTTGACGCATTTTTGCATGTTTATTATTCATTTTGCCTTTTTGTTTTAATTTGCCTTTTGCTATGCAGATTTAAAACACAAAACATATAAAAAAATGCAGCAAATAAAACACAACACATGCTTTTCTGCAGCATTTCCATTGAAGTCTGTACAACCAAAAATGCAACTTTTTGCATTCAAAATGTCCCTGACCCTTTCCAAAAAACGCACCGGGAGAAAAAGCGCAGATGTGAACATGTCCCGTAGGAAATCATGTTAAAACGGACTGTACTGCGTTTCTGCAAAATGCAAAACGCTGCAGAAATCACTTATGTGTGAACCTAGGTAAGGCTTCGGGGTGAAACGCGTTAGCGTGTCATTGCTTTATCCTGCCATGTAGCAGATAAGGAATTACTGCTACATTTCAACAGGCATCTAGGCCAGAGCAGCAGATTCCCAGTCTCCCAGGTAATTTGCGGTAGAGTATGTTCTCTTTGCTGTTCCTTATATTGTCCTCAGCTCTCTCTGAAGACTACAGAACACCTCCCCTCCATGTTATAGAGCAGTGGATAGGAGGATGTGTTCTGTAGTCCCAGCAAACCTTTGCATCATAGGGCAGCCATGCTTGCTTTATAGATTGTACAGGAAGCAGTGGTGTATTTAGGTTTTGTGCTGCCCTAGGCAACAAAAAAGTTGGCGTCCCCCACAGAAAGAGCCTGACATTGACCAAGAGCACCCCTGCCCTCCACCCGAGCCTTCCACTACCACTGCCCCCCATACACCAGCCGCCATCCCCCATGGCGAGACAGAGAAAGACACTAACCTTCACAGCTCCGGACATCCCCAGGAATGAGAGTCGGGCTGTGCATACACCATCATGAAACCCACAGCATCTCTTGGAACCCACCAGGTCCCCATGCAGCGTGTGTCCCTTTTTTCCGTCCCTTCTTCCAAGGGGCAATGCTGCCTGCCCCCCCCCCCCTGAACAATGCTGCCCTAGGCAAATGCCTTGTTTGCTTTGTGGTAAAACACACACCTGACAGGAAGTGTGTTAGGGCCTGTTCACCTGGGTGGCTGGGAGGCAGCGAAAACTGGTGGCACCGTGATTTTACCACCCTGACTGCTCATCTGAATCCTACACATGCTGCAGCTGCAATGCTTTGCTTTGTGGTCCTGGTATTTTTAACTCCGGCTGTAGCATTGACAGGCACCAGCTTTCAAACTCAATCATTGCGTTCAATAGGGCCACTCTGCAACCGTGAGCCCAGGGGCTCGGAGTTGTGCCATGGTTCTGCAATGTAAATACAAAAAAAACTTTCAGCCGCTGTCTGCTATGACGCCATGTGAAACTCAAACGCCCTAGATCACTTTTCAGAGGGTAGTAAAGAAGCACCCCCTGTGTGATGAAGCCCTAACTGGCAGAATCACCAGGTTGAAATACACAGAAAAAAAACCAACACTACTACACTCACCACATCTAAGGACTGGAAAGCTGCATCCTATAATTTTTTTTTTCTTGGATTTAGATATACTGTAATTAAAGCGATAGTAAACCGCAGGAAAAAAAAAGAAGTCCCCTGCAAGTTAAAGAAGCGGTTTGCGTTACGGTGCGGCTTTCCCAGATTGTAAGCTCGAAAGAGCAGGGCCCTCGAACCCCTTGTGTAGTGTATTGTTACTGTCTTGTCTCATGTTCTGTCCCCCTTGCTAATGTAGAGCGCTGAGCAAACCTTTTGGCGCTATATAAATACTGTATAATAATAATTTAACTGACAATCGCGCGGGTCATGCAACGCTGCACCCAAACAAAATTTACATCTTTTTTTTTGCCCACAAAGTGATCTTTCTTTTGGTGGTATTTGATTGCCTGAACATTGTTTATTTTTTGTGCTATAAAAAAAAAACCCGGCAATTTTGAGAAAAAAAAACAATATTTTGGACTTTTTGCTATAAAACATGTCCAGTAAAAAAATGTAAAAATCTAATTTTGTCAGAAATGTAGGCCAAAATGTATTCTGCTCCATGTCTTTGCTAAAAAAAAAAATCAGAATACATGTAAATTAATTGGTTTATGTGAAAGTTATAGCGTTTACAAATGGTGGTATATATACTGGGATTTGTTTTTTTTAATACTAATAATTGCAACGATCAGCAACTTATGGCAGGACTGTGGCGAACATTCTGACACTGGGGGGGGAACCGACTTGGTGTCACTGGCATCCCCAGTAGAAATTCTGAAGGACCCTCTGCACACTGGTATATACCCTTTCAAGCAGACTATGCAATAAATAGGGATATTTAGTTCACACATATTGCAATACATGCTGGCCAACCACGTCAAAGTAATCCCACTGTGCAGAGGGTTCTTCAGAATTTCTGGTGTTAATATGTGGTTACACCCTTTAGCACCTGATGGATGAATACATGCACTAGCTTTTGGATTTGAGCACAGGGATCTCTTGTTTGTTTACGGGACATCCCCAGTGACACCAATACAGTGATCAGTGATAAAAAAAAAAGCACTGACACTGTGCTAATGGCACTGGGCAGGAAGGGGTTAACATATGGGAGCAATCAAAGGGTTAACAGTATGGGAGTGTTTTACTAGGGGGGGGGGGGATGTGTGTGCTTCACTATAAAGCACATCGATCTGGATGGCTGTGCTCAGCCATCCAGAGCAGTGTGCCCAAAGTGACAGGGAGGAGGGCTGCATTGTAAACAATGCAGCCCTCCTCCCTGTCTGTGATCGCCGGTAATCTCCAGGCGTCAGCAGGCAATCACTGGCAGGGACCCGGTGACTGACACCCGGGGCCGCAATTGGTGGCGTGGATTGGGCGGGTCGCGTGCCTCATACCCGAAAAAATAAATATACGTGATCCTGCACACAGGGGCACCCCTGCAGCAGTAAATGCACTGTGGGCAGTCCCTAAGTGGTTAATGTCGTAATGTGCTAGCAGGGGCAGACTGACCATTTGGAAATTCGGGCACTGCCTGTAGCTGGCCAGCTAAGACCAGTCCTAGGTTTGCTAATATGGTTCAATATATGTGTATACCAAACCTGCCAATAAACCTCAGTACAGTGTATATGTGTATATGTTAAAGCCAAAAGCAGAATCATTGCTGTAATTTATGTCTTTGATTGTTATATGACATTTATATATTCATTGTGTTAGCAGAAGCAGAAAAGGAAAATATGCCTTTAAGAGTTAGTATAGAACTGAGCCAATCACAGACAGCCTCACACTGTACAGAGCCTTAACCAATCCTAGCCAGTTTTACATTTATGCCTGTGTAAAACTCCCTGACAGAATATTTTAGAGACACATGCTCACCAGACAGAGGAGGAAACAGACAAAGTTCCAATCAGAGAAGCTCCATGGAGGCAGAGAAGGCCAAATAGGTATTTAATACACTTGTGTGTTCCTCTATTGTTTAACAGTGCAGGTAGATCTGTGTCTAAAAACTGTTGTGTGTGTTTACTTGTAGTTCCACCGAATCAAGTCACTGTAGAGTAATCATAATCGAACCTATCGAATTTACGAATTAATCTAACAACATAAGCTAACGAATCTAATGAATCTATCGAGATAAGCTATCGAATCAACCCAATGTAATATGAATTAAACCATTGTAATATGAAAGAAACAAGCCATTGTAAGCAGTTATATGAAGAAGACTGAAGTTATTAAAGAAGTTAACTAAAGTATTCGGTGTGCTCTTTAAACCTACTGCATCCATAGAGCGGCATTGGAGGAATTACAGAGTAAAGTCAGTCTAATCAAACGAAAAGAAACAGCAATTGCATAATTTTTCTAATGCCACAGCGCACTAGGCACCAAAGGGTGCTGCGCCTGCCATACTGCCCGAGGGCCCAGGGTCAGTAAGGGTCCCCATGAGATGCCCCTGGTACCTTTTTCATAGGCTTTTTTTGAGTTTGGGCAAGGACACAGGGGCCCCATGAGTTTTCAGTCCGCCCCTGTGTGCTAGTATGCATCACAGACTTACCTTAGAACGAAGCCCTTCAGTAGCGCGCTGTCAGCACTGCAGAGGCTTACATCCTCACCCGTCTTCCTTCCAGATTCACAAGCTCCGGCCATCTGACAGGCCAGGCCGCGACGTGACGTCACTCCCGCGTATGGGCGTGGAAGTCCCAGGCCATGGGACACAGCTCTGAAGGAACAACATGGGCATGCCATTCCTTCAGAGCTTACAAATAAATATAAACTTGCGCCACAGAAAAATATATATAAACTTAAGAAATGTAAATGCTGCTGTTCTAAAAGTAATCCAATAAAATTATAAAACACTCCACAGCGCAAATAAATTATATATGAAAATTAAAATACTATATAGATTTTTTTTTGGACTTTTATTTAAAGTCTGCACACAAAAAAAAAAAAAAAAAAGAGCGCATGTACCGGCTGTTTAAAAAGAGAGAATGTCTCCTCAACGGTGCATGTTTAGCAGATATTCGTTTTTACCTACAGGTAAGCTTTATTATAAGTAAAAAAAAAAAAAAAAAAAAAAAAAAACACGTTTACTACCACTATAAGGGATGTAT